GCATCTGATACACTGGAGCCCCCGTGTGGGAAGGGTTATTTGTCCCTAAGAAAGAGGCTGGTTGAAATCTTCCTCATGAAATCTCTTCTTACTGGGAGGAAAACAGGCATTTTTTTTTCAGGTAAGTTGAAGCTGTGGCCTGTGGGTTCTCGATAGACCCTCTTTGTTAGCAGGTATGCAAATGAATTTAGCTAATTCTCTGATCATTAGATATAATATCTGTAGACTTAGAAATAGGCTTACTCTGACCCCCAGTTAAGCAAGTTCTCTTTCTTCTGACTGTAAAGAAGTCATTGTCTAAAGCAGTATCAACTGTGAGGCAGCACATTGATGTCTGATACATAGTTTTTATTATAAATATAGAGCACATTTACAAATAATCTCAAAGTAACCTTAGCTAAACAAAATTAAATAATACAGAATAGTGTGGATGAAGGGACGTCTATAAAGTCTGTGTCAGAGTTAGAAAATTCTGAAAGAGGTACCTGAGCACAGAGAACTCCTATCTAACACTCTCTGAGGGCTCTCTTAGACACAGCATGAGATTCAGTAATCAGTATCGAATAAAACCTTCCTCTCAACAGCCCCAAAGAGATTCCATCTGTGTAGTAGAAGGCTGGGTGGGAAGTGCATTTGCCCCTCCTTGTCCTGCCCTTCCTTTTATCCTGAGACACATTGGGACTCATAGACCCCATGAGAGAAAACAAATTTCAGAGGCTGTTCGAGAAGCCTAGGGCCCAGTGATAATATTCCCGTGTGTCCTAAGGAGCATCAGTGCCAGTGCAGCTTTCTAGGTTGTAAGCAATGCCAATGGCATGAGTCATAGCATTCCCTTCAAGGCACTCCCACTTATTGAGGACCAAATGCACCTTAGCAGGGGCCAAGGTTTCCTGAGAAAGGGAGTGAGGCAGACAGACATGCACAGGCAGATACACGGGGTAGAATGGAGGCTGGTGATTGGCCTGAGATGCCTGGAAACTGAGTTAGATCCATTTCTAGCCATGAATGAGGAAAACGGCTTCTTCTTTTCTGTCTGGAGCCCCTGACATAAAAGCCTTGAGGAGCTCCTGGCCAAGGGGACTTGAGAGGTTTTGGTGGCCTCTTTTACCTAAGGCAGTCAGATTGGCTTACACAGCTAAGCTAAATAAAAACAACCCCCTCAAGTAAATAAGCAGTTACAAAAATTAAAATCACAGAATGTCTCAGAGAATAGGGAAAAACCAACTACCTCAAATTGTGCATTCTTTAACAATCATTTAAATAATCTCTGAAGGGTAGCTCTCTGATTCCTTTCCCAAATTCCCAGCAGATTATCTCCGTAAACAGCTAATTACTCCCTAAAGCTGTAACCTCTCCTTCTGTGGGCATTTACCTGAACGAAGCCCACAAATTGATTAAGAAATGCATGCTTTTTTGTGTATTTTCCATTAAGACTCGCCTAAAGACCTTGGCAAATACTTTTCCTAGTTGCTTCTAGTGAGTTTTGGGAAGACAGCCTTGCCAAAGGGCTTAGGTGGAATTCCAACTAAGCAGCAAGGTGCTTAAGCCCTGGTCTTACACGTAGACAGGTCTGACAGTGGACAATGGTGTAGGATTTCCCAGTTCAGAATTGGTTATATATTTCTTTTCCTGTGTCTCATGGGCTCACCCTGGGCTTTGGAGAGACAGGAGAAACTTTTACTTTTACTTCTTCTCTGTTCTTTTCTGGCACATGCATTTCAGTGGACAAGGACATATCTCTGAAGGTTATGGCAAATTCAAGTTAGACTAAGATAAGACAGGACTGGGATGGGGAGGTGAGTGTGCTGTCAATGGGTAAGTTTAAAACAAGTCTAGATCAGGAGAGGGGGAGAGAAGAGAGTTTCTGCCAACTGTCCCCCAAGGTTTGCTTTGCCAAATTTCAAAGACTAGGAAGGGTGGGTTTCCTACAGTCGCCTGTCTGTACTTTTTCATGTATTGACACTGAAGGGAGGGGCTGTGACCAGGCAGCCTGGAGGCGCCTCATTTGGAAGTTAAGTGGGGGAAAAGTCTTCTTCCCTTTTTCTCTGAGGGTAAAGGGATCCTTCCAGTGATGGGGATGAGAAGCTTGGAGTAAGTCAGCAGTGCAGGAAACAGGGCAGGTTGCATTACTTCTTTTTTATTTCTGAATAAACTGTTTCTGTGGCTGATGGGGTGGGGAGGCTGAAGTTGGTTTCTTTGATTCCTGGACATTGAAGTTCAGGGAAGAATATGCAGCTTCATCCATCTGAAAGGCATGAGCAGCGGTCAGTTAAATCAGTGTCATAGGTCAGGCCCTCACCTGTTCTAGTGTGATTCAGTACCACGTGCTATCACCACTTTCAAATTTTTAGCTTTGGAGATGGCTTTTATCACCCATTATTCCTGCTTGCTAACATCCTCTGAATGATCATTGGAAGAGAGAGATTTTGGAATTTGTACAACAGAGTACGATGATATAGCAACGAGAATGAACACACTACAAATGCATACAACAATATGGATGAATCTCACAAAACAAGTTTGAATGAAAGAAGCCAGAAACGTATAAGGATACGCTGTGTCATTCATTTATGTAAGAGCATAAACAGGCAAAACTAATCTAGTGCATTGGAAGGCATGATAGTGGTTACTCTTTGGAGGGAAGTAGCTGGAGGGTTTTTTGTGGGGATAATGACATGTTTTGTTTCTTGATTTTGGTGCTGCTTATATGGGTATGTTCATCTTGTGAAAATTTATATATTGTTAAAATATGGTTTTGATTTAAGCAGTCTTCAGTATATATCGGTACACTATTGAAAGGTTAAGATGAGAAAAATTTGGTAAAATTATTAAAGTAAGGGAAATAAGATGTCAGATCCATTAGAATAGAAATTATCTTTCGACAGTAGGAACAAAGTCAGATGGAAGGTAAAGGAGGGAGAATGATTGAGGCCTTCCTTGTGTTGTGCCCTGTGCTGGGTGCTGTACATTTGTATCTCATTGAATTCCTTCACTTCCTCTTTGAAGTAGGCAGCATGCCCATTAAAGATGACAAAGCTGAGGATCAGAAAGTTTAAGCTACTTGTCCGAGGTCACAGAGCTAGTAAGAGTCTCAACCAGCATTCAAACATAGGATGGAGATAATTCCAAAGTCCACATGTTTGCAATGAGGTAGACTCACGGGAGTCATTGCTAGCACTTCTTTGTTTGCTGCTGCATTGAGGAACTTTGACCCAAACCTGGTCTCACATTGGTGTCTTCAAGAATAACCCATTCTATACAGAGACATTTCCATGAGAACATGAACCAGTCAAACGTGTTGTTCTTACCTTGTTAGGGGAGTTGTCAGAGTGGCCCTGACTTGGGGAAGCAAAAGAAGAGTTACCCATGGATGAAAATGCAAAGCTGACTTATGGCCTTAGAACGAGGGTGTTCCTAAGCTATTGTGATTTCTAGCTGTAGGAGGTGGCAGGTGTTCGGAGCATGGAGTAAGGAGGTGGTCCATGATCACTTAAGGAATTGGCTTCCCTCAGAGTCTGTGGTCCAGACCCAGGGCATTAGTACCAGAGGAGGGGCAGGAGTAGAGCCAGAGGAGGCCTTCATCCGCTTCTGAAGATCTTTTCCAGGCTACAAGGCATTGATTTGTTCCCTGTTGTGTTTCTCAGCCACAGGCTTCAGTGGCAAGGAGTGGCACTGTGGCCCACAGTGCCAAGAGCAGAGCAAGACAGGGAAAGTCTCCCTAAAGGAGAATGCCCACATCCATAAAGAGGCGGGAGGGGAAGGACGAAGTATGAGGAAATGTCTCCTGGGAACATGTGCATCTTACTCAGACCTACCTGGCCTAGGCAGAGTGAGCATCTCTCTTGGAGCTGTGTCTCAGGGGAATCTGTTGTGGCTAGGAAGGGGGTGAGGACCTATGCCAACTTCAGGTTGGGAAGTGGAGATCCCTTCTAAAAATTCAGATGGTAGGCAGTGGTTTGGGAGTCCAGGATTCCCTGCTAGTTTAGGGCACATGGTGGAACACACCAGCTGTCACTGGGTGAGTGGCTTTACTTACTGTGGTTGGAGACTGAGGGTTTATGCTCTCTCTATGAGATCACACTGGACACGTTCCCTAAATAAATCTCAGACTCTGTGACTGCTATTCCCAAGCATAGGATCTTTGCTCCTTGTGTGAGGAAGGACACGGTGAGCAGATAATTCCTCGGGGCTCCTCAATGTTCATTTATACCATGGTAGGTACTGTCTTTCCACTCAGGACCTCCTTCCTCAGTCTACCCTTGATTCCTTCTAGTGTTTACTCCTTTCCTGTTTGCTGGATGTGCACATTTAAGTCCATTCTTTATCAATTGACTGTGACCCTACTTCTACCCTCACGCCTTTCCCCTTTTGAAGGTAGATGCTATTTTTTTCTCACTTTTTATTGCCTGAGAGGCCTTTGGTTGTTTCTGATTTTCTTAGGTTCTCTTCCTGTCTTATCCATCCTTCCTGTTGCTATGCCAACAGAGCACATGACTCCCTTTCTCCTGCCCCTCCTTTCATTTCCTCATTTGTTTTCCTTCTTGGACCTTGGCCTCCCTGACTGGGGAGCAGAGGAATAGAATTCATTCTGTCCCCTTTAAACCAGGTGGTGATGGGAATAACCATGTCCAACAGACAGCAGTTTAGAGGGAGCCTGAAGACCAGGGAAGAAGAAACCCAGAGGAATTAGTGCTGAGAAGCAGGAGTTTAGGGAGGAGGAGCAGATTCAGGCCCAGAGACAGAGTTGAAGTCTCCTTCCCTCTCCCAAGCATGGCACTTTGCCTTGGAGAAAGTGAAACACTAAGAATGGCCATCATACCGTCCAATGTTTCAGATATGCAGAAAGTACACCGGAGCTATCAGAGCTACCCCGGCCAGGACTCCGACCACGATGCTGTCAATGACCCCAGCTGAGAGGCCAGCAGAATTTCCTGGTGTTGGTGTTGGTGTTGGTGGTGGTGTTGGTCGATGCTGTCAATGACCCCAGCTGAGAGGCCAGCAGAATTTCCTGGTGTTGGTGTTGGTGTTGGTGGTGGTGTTGGTGTTGGTGTTGGTGTTGGTGTTGGTGTTGGTCTTGGTGTTGGTCTTGGTGTTGTTGTTGAATCATCTGTCATGGAAAGAAAAGAGAATATATAGACAAGGTGACATTATTTTACAGTGGGGGTGCCCTGGGAAACAACTCTCAACGTTGAGTAGTCTCTACTTGTTCCTTCAAGGAATAAATTTCCTGTTGGAAAGTTGCTGTGAGGTGATAGCTGACTATGGCCTTGCAAATTTTTGCTCTCATTGTATTTCTCAGTTGGCAGTCACGCTGGCCTCAATTTCCCCCTGGTCTTTCTGCCCTGAGAAATTTTTGAAGGCTCTGGAAATGTGAAAAAGGCTCATGACTCTTTTTTTATGTTGTTATTTTCCACCTTTCTGTGGGTGCATCTTTCTCTGTGTACCAGGTGTGGCAGCTCTGTAAATGTGCCTCTCGGGTCTCTTGTGGTGGGGACTTAATTGACAGAAGGCCTGGGCTAGCACACTCTGAATTCACCGTCTCCATTCACCAATGCCGTTCAACTAACAGTGACCACCCTTCCCACAGGCTCCCAGCTGGGATATGAAAGTAATCCCAATTCTGTGAGAAATGACTTTCCTCTGATGGGTGACTTGAGCTCAAGGACTCCCTGTCAGCCTTGTAGACACTCTCTTAGAGCTGCACTGAAAGCTAAAGCTTCCTTCCTTCTCTTTCTCCTTCACAGGGATCAGATCTGCACCGTGGTCTGAGGAATCTCCCAGGCTTCTCCCACTCCTGCTCTATTTTCCTTTACAGGCATTTCCCCCAATAAATGTCTTGTATGTCTAATGCCATCTTGCCTGTGATTTTGGGGGAAAAGTAACAAACCAGACATGAAACTGCACTCATCTCCTTTTTTCCTCTCCTATATTTAGTCAAAAACCTTGTCCCAGTGGGTTTTTGTGTTATACTTCCCCTTCCCCCAATATATATTTCCTTTTCCGTCTGTTTCTTCTTTTGTATTTCTGTTGCCCTCACCAGTCCACTTAAGACTGATGATTAACGCTAATGTTAGCAATTATTATGAGGTCCTGTGCCAGGCTCTATGCTATATAATTTACATATATCTCATTTGATTCATGTAATAAAGCTGTCAGATAGACATTATTTCCATTTTACAGATGAAAAAACTCAGGGATACAGTAGTGAATAAACTTACCCAAAGTCATATTACTAGTAAAATCTGGATTGAGAGTCAGGTACTCCTTGACTCTAAGACTTCCTGATTTCATAGAGGCTAGTGATAATAGTAATAATAATAGCAACTAACCCTTAGGGAACATTTCCTCTGTGTGTGGCATTTTACTAAAGGTTTCATTGAATCTTACCTTAAATCTTTAATATAATACCATGAAGCAGGTACAATCATCCCTCAGTATCCATGAGGGACTGATTCTAGGACTCCACCCTCCACCACACTCCACAGATACCAAATTCTATGGATGCTCAAATTCCTTATATAAAATGGTGTAGTATTTGAGCATAACTTACACACATCCTCCCATATACTTTAAAGCATCTCTAGATTACTTACAATACCTCATACAATGTGAATGCTATGTAAATCGTTCTTATACCATATTGTTATAGAATAATGACAAGAACTAAAAGTCTGTAAATGTTCAGTATAGATGCAACCATAGTAGGCCTTTCGATCCTCGATTGATTGAATCTGTGGATGCAGAACTGCAGATATGGAGGGCCGACTGTACTCTTACTGCAATTTTCTGTTAAGCGCTGAGGCTCAGAGAAGTTAAGAATCTTGTGAAAGAAATTTACAATTTAATGTACATACATTATATTTGTAATATTATGAATTTATATATGAAATTTATAATGTAAATACCTTAAAAAAGAAGACAGATCTTGAATTAACAACCTAACTTTACAACTTAAGGAAGTAGAAAAGAAGGACAAACTAGGCCGAAAGCTAGCTGAAAGAAGGAAATAATAAAGATTAGAGTGGAGATAAATGAAGTAGAGAATTGAAAAACAATAGAGAAAATCAAGAAAACCGAAAGTTGATTTTTCAAAAAGATGAATAAAATTGACAAACCTACAGCTAGATTGACTAAGAAAGTAAGAGAGAAGACTCAAATTACTGAAATCAGGAATGAAAGTGGAGGCATTACTAGCAATTCTACAGAAAAATAAGAATTTTAAGAGTACTGTGAATAATTGCATGCCAACAAGTTGGATAACCTAAATAAATGGACAAATTCTATGAAACACAAAACCTACAATGCTAAAATCATAAAGAAATTGAAAATATCAACAGACCTATAATTAGTAAGGAGATTGAATCAGTAAAAGCATTTGACAAAATTCAACGTTCTTTCATGTTAAAAACACTCAAACTAGGAATAGAGGGAAACTAAGTCAGCATAATACAAGCCGTGGAGAAAAAACTCACAGCTAAAATCATAGTCAATGGTGAAAGACTTTAAGTTTTTGCTCTAAGATCAGGAACAAGTTATGAATGCCTGCTATTGCTACTACTATTCAAAATAGTATTGGAAGTCCTAGCAAATAATTAGTCAAGAAAAATAAATAAAAAGCATCCACATTGGATAGGAGAAGTGAAATTATCTCTGTTTGCAGATGATATGACCTTCTATGTCATATCATATATGACATATAACCTAAAGATCCCACAGAAAACTGTTAGGACTAATAAGGAAATTCAGCAAAGCTGCGGGATACTAAATCAATGCATAAAAATCAGTTGTGCTTCTATACACAAACAATGAACAATTTGAAGAGGAAATTAGGAAAATTTTATTACCACTAGCATCAAAAGGAATGAACACCTCGGAATCAACTTAACAAGGGAGGTGAAAGACTTATACACTGAAAAACTACAAAAACACTGCTGAAAAGAATTAAAGAAGGCAAAAACAAATGGAAAGGTATTCCATGTTTGTGGATTAGAAAACAATGTAATTAAGATGACAATACTACCCAAAGTGATCTCTACATTCAGTGTAATCCTTATCAAAATCCCAATGATGTCTTCTGGAAGAAATAGAAAAATCCATCTTAAAATTCATATGGAATTTCAAGAGACACCAAATAGCCAAAACAATCTGGAAAAAGTTGGAGGATTCACACTTCCTGTTTTCAAGAATTACTACAAACTTCAGAAATCAAAACAGTGTTGTAGTGTGTAAAGACAGACATATAGACCAATGGGATAGAAAAGCCAGTAAAAAATCCTTGCAAATATGGTCAGATGACTTTTGACAGGGGTATGAAGACCACTCAATGGGGAAAGGGCAGTGTTTAAAACAAATTGTCTTGGGAAACTGTATATCAAAGCAAAAGAATGAAGTCAAACATCTAATATCTTACGCAAAAAATTAACTCACAATGGATCAAAGACCTAAATGAGCGAGCTAAAACTATAAAACTCTTTGAAGAAAACGTAGAGTGAAAGCTTCATGACATCTAATTTGGCAATGATTTCTTAGATAAGAAACCAAAAGTTCAGGCAACAAAGAGAAAATAGATAAATTAGACTTCACCAAAATTAAAAACTTTTGTGCAGCAAAGAACATTTTCAAGAAAGTGAAAAGACAACCCACATAACGTGAGAAATAATTTGCAAATCTTCTATCTGATAAGGAATTAATATTCAAAATATATAAATAAAAATTACAACTCCACAAAATAACAAAAAACAACCCAATTTACAAATAGGCAGAGGAACTGAATACACATTTCTCCAAAGAAGATATACAAATGTCCAAAAGCACATGAAAAGATGTACCATATCACTAATCATTAGGGAAATGTAAATCAAAACCCCAAAGAGATACTACTTTGTACCCGTTAGGATGACTATTATTTAACACCCCCAAAAAGAAAACAAGAAGTGTTGACAAGGATGTGGAAAAATTGGAACCTCCGCGTATTGCTAGTGGGGATGTAAAACGGTGTAGCCACTGTGGAAAATGGTATGGCAGTGCATCCAAAAATTGAACATAGCACTGCATTTGATCCAGCAATTCCACTTCTGGTATATATGCAAAAGAATTGGAAGTAGGGATTTGAACAGCTTTTTGTACACCCATGGTCATAGCAGCATTATTCACAATAGCCAAAAGATGGAAAGAACCTGAAAGTTCATCGACTGATGAAAGATAAACAAAATGTGGTGTAGACATATATAAGGGAATACAATTCTGCCTTAGAAAGGAATGAATTTCTGATACTTGCTACAACACGGATAGAGCATTGATGACATGATGCTAAGCGAAATAAGCCAAACATGAAAGGAAAAATACTGTATGATTCCACTTATACAAAGTCTCTAAGATAGCCAAATTCATAGAGACAGAAAGCAGAATGATGGTTGCTAGGAATTGGGGTGGGGAACTGGGGAGATATTGTTTAAAGGGTACGAGTTTTAGTATAGTAAGATGGGAAATTTCTAGATAGATAGTGGTAGTGATTGCACCATATGAATGTGTTTAATGCCTTTAAGCTGTACACTTAAAGACAGTTAAAACAGTAAATCTTATGAATATTTTACCACAAAATATTTTAGCTTTACGCTTTTTTTTGTTCCGTGACTGTGGTGTTGCTGGCTTGGATGGAGGGCTGTGCCACTGGGTCTGTGGAGAAACAGAGGAGGTGACTGACGGAGAAGGGGCCTGGGGCCTGGGGCCAGGCTCCTTCCTCAGAGATCTCAGCCAGTTCCCAGCTCACACAGTGAACTGTGTGAAGGTGACCCAGAAGATGGCCCTGGCCCTGTGCACAGCGTTGTGAGTAGTCGTTCAGGTGACAATCTATGAGAAGAGGGCTGCACCTCCTCTCTGACCTCCAGATCACCCCAGGATGACCCCTGAGCAGGGCCCCTGGACATCTCTGGAGGATCAGCGCCCAGGAACCCCTTCCCAGGCCGTGTGCACGGTATCCACATCATGACGTGGAGCTTTTCCTCTCTGGAATTTTGTTTACTTTTTTCTACAAGTTTCTTTGACTCTCAGAAGATCAGGTCCTGGCCCCTATATACACTTCCACGTATGTTGGGCAAGGCAGGCTTGCCCACCCCATCCATGTCTGGGGCCCAGGGAGTGTCATGAAGGTAAGGCAGGCATTTGCTTCTGATTAAATAATTTGTTAGGGAAGGAGGTTGGTCCCACCTGGTCTTCATGACTTTAGGCGCTGAGGAGTTTCCAAACAAAGATTTTCCCATTCTGAAGAGTGCTTTTTACTTCCAGGTCTGTGGATTGACTACCACACGGAAGCAAATCTCTAGAGAAGTGGCTCCCAATTTAACAAAATACTGGCACTCGTAGGAGGAGAAGGCAAGTCGCGCAACACAGTGAAGGCCTTACATGAAGGGCCCATGGCTAGCAGCACACTCAGTGTCGGCACACTGAAAGCTTTTCCTCTAAGATCAGGGAGAGGACAAGGATGCTGCTGTCACCAGTCCTATTCAATGGGGGCTGGAAACCCAGGCCAGCACAATCAGGCAATCAAAAGAAAGAGAACGCATCTACACTGGAAAGGAAGAAGTACAGGGACGTCTGTTTGCAGATGGCATGAGCTTATCTGTATGAAACCATCAGGATTCCACAAAAAACTGTTAGGACTCAGAAAGGAGTTCGGCAAAGCCACAGGAGGTGAAATCAACACACAGAAAATCACTTGTGTTTCTATGGAGAAAGCATGAACAACCTGAAAAGGAAATTAGGAAAACAGTTCCGTTTACAACAACAGCGAAAAGAAGCAAATACTTCGGAATTAGCTTAAGCACGGAGGTGAAAGACTCGTACACTGAAAAAACACGGAACATTGCTGAAAGGAGAAGAAAGGCCTCAACAAATGGAAAGACATTCCGTGCTTGTGCAGTATAACGGTCAGTGTTGTCAAGATGACAGTAATACCCAAAGTGATCAACAGATTGAATGCAATCCGTATCAAAGCCCCGGTGACACCTTGCCGCAGCGACCGAACAAATCCATCCTAAACTTCGCGTGGCATTCCAAGGAACCCCGAGTATCCAGAACAATCTTGAACAAAGAACAAAGTGGCAGGACTCCCACTTTCTCGTTGCAACGTTGACTACGAAGCTGCAGTAATCAGAACCGCGTGGTAACAGCGTAAAGCCGGACATATAGGCCAAAGGAATGGAAGAGACAGCCCATAAGTAAATGCTTGGATATGTCGCCAAATGATCTTCGACAGGGGTGCCGAGGCCATTCCGCGGGGAAAAGACAATCTTTCCAACAGATGGGGTCAGGAAAACTAGGTGTGTGGGCAGGGGAACGAAGCGGAACCCTCCCTGAACACCACACACAAAAAGTAAACTCAGGATGGATCGGAGACCTAACAGTAAGAGCGAAAATGATAAAAACTCTTAGAAGAAAACATTGGGTGATGTTTCATGACTTTGGATTTGGCAGTGATTTATTGGATGTGAAACCAAAGGCCCAGGCAACCAAAGGAAGGATAGGCGGTTTGGACTTGGCCCAAATTAAAATGTCTCGTCCACCAAAGAACACTTTCAACAAAGGGAAAAGACGACATACGGAGTGGGACAGAAATATTTGTGCATCATATATCGGATGAAGGATTGACACCTGGGACCTGTAGAGAACTACAACTCGACAACAACAAAAGACCCAATCGATAAATGGGCAAAGGACTGGAACAGACATTTCTGGAAAGAAGAGACACAAATGGCCAAGAGGCACGGGAAAAGATGCTCAGCATCACTAATCATTGGGGAAACACAAGTCAAAACCACCATGAGATACTACCTCATGCCCAGTAGGATGGCTGTTTGGGAACAAACAAGCAAGTGAGCGAGCAAGCAAGCAAACAAACAGACACCAAGGGGTGGCGAGGATGTGGAGAAATGGGAACTGCTGTGCATCGCTGGTGGGAATGTGAAATGGTGCAGTCATGTGGAAAATCACGTGGCAGTTCATCAAAAACCGAACATAGAATTGCCGTCTGATCCAGCCATTCCACTTCTGGCTGTAGACCCCAAAGAACTGAAAGCAGGGATTTGAACAGATACGTGTACACCCGTGGTCATAGCAGCATTTCTGACAAGAAGCAACAGGTGGAAACAACCCAGAGGTTCACAGATGGATGAATGATGAGCAAAATGGGACATGTACACGTGAGGGAACGGTTTTCAGCCTTAAGAAGGAATAAAATGTCTGCTGCAACGTGCGTGGAACGTCGGAGACATTTACGCTGAGTGTGATAAGCCACACTGCAAAAGGGGAGATATCATGTGAGTCCTCCTATATGAGGTCCCTAGGATAGTCGAATACACAGAGAGGGAAAGTAGAATGGTGGTTATCAGGGGCCTAAAGCAGGAAGCGGGGAGGTATTGTTTATCGGGGACGGAGTTTGAGGATAGTAAGATGGCAAAGGTTTGGAAATGGATAGCAGTGACGGTTACGCAACAATATGACTATAGTAACGCCACTGAAGTTTATGCTTAAGAATGGTTAAAATGGGAAATCTCACATATATTTTACCACATGAAAAAAATGGTAACGGGACAAAACCAGAATCCCGTGCAAGGTCACACAGTACATGCCAGACCCACGATAAGAAACTTAGTACATTTGATGCAGAGACTGGGCTCTTAACCACTTGGCTGTTTTGTTTCCTGTAACGGCCTCTTGGTTGATGTTCTGTCCCCTGTGACTTACATCCATTTTACACACCATTGGGAGGGTCATCTTCCCAGGAAGATGTAGGATGGGGGCAAGTGGTCACTTACATTTCACATCCAGCCTGAGGAAGTCACTTTTGCTGGAAGTGACTGTGTTGGAGACCTCACACTGATAAGCCCCAGCATCATTCCTCCTGATGGGGTCTATGGTGAGGGTGCTGTTGTCCTGGGACAGCTTCATCCTCTCTGTGAGCCCTAGAATCTGGTTATTGAAGAACCACTGGATGGAGATCCCAGTGTCACTAGTGAGGCAGGTCAGGACCACGATGTCCTTCTGTTCTGTGACTGTGACTTGGATGGAAGGCTGTGCTTCTGGTTCTGTGGAGAAACAGAGAAACAGAGGTGACTGACTGAGAGTGGGCCTGTGGCTTCACGCCTTCCTCAGAGATCTCAGCCAGTTCTCAGATCCCACAGTGAGCTGTGTAAAGCTGACCCAGAGGATGGCCCTGATCCTATACCCAAGGTTGTGAGTATTTATTCACGTTACAATCTGTAAGGAGAGGGCTGCAATTCCTCTCTGAGTCTGACATCAACCCAGGATGACCCCTGAACAGTACTCCTGGACAACTGTGTAGTATCAGAACCGGAAACCTCTTCTCGGGTCGCATGTCCAGTATCCTCATCATCAAGTGGAATTTTTCTCTCATGAACTTTTGTTGCCTTTTTTCTAGAACTTCCTTTGTCTCTAAAAAGAACATGTCCTATTCCCTATATACACTTCCATGTATGTTGGGGAAGGCAGGCTTGCCAGCTCTGTCCATCTCTGGGACCAAGGGAAATTTATGTAGGTAGGGAAGGCATTTACTTCTTATTAAAAACATTGTGAGGGAATGAGGATGGTCACACTCAGTCTTCATAACCTTAGGCATTGAGGACTTTTCAATCAAAGGATTTCTCACTCTGAAGAGGATTTTTACTTCCAGGTGTGTGGGTTGAATATCATGTGAAGGAAGTCTGTAGAGAGTCTAAATATTGGCACTCTTAGGAACAGAAGGAAAATGGTGCAACACAGTGAAGGCCTTACGTGAAGGGCCCACAGCTAGAAGCGTACTCAGTGTTGAAACACTGAAAGCTTTTCCTGTAAGATCTGGAAGACGAAGATGCTGCTTTCACCACTCCTCTTCAACACAGACCAGAAATCCAAGCCAGAACAATGAGGCAAGAAAAAGAAATAGAATGCATCTAAATTGGAAAGGAAGAAGTACAATTACGTCTGTTAGCAGATAGCATGAATTTGTGTGTATAAAACCATAAAGTTCTATAAAAAACTGTTAGAACTAAGAAATGAAGTCAGCAAAGCTGCAGGATACTAAATCAATGTGTAAAAATCAGTTGTGTTTCTACAGACAAACAATGAACAATTTGAAAAGGAAATTAAGACATTTTTATATAAGCTGTGCAGAGTAGGGGCAGTCCCAGCTGCAATGAAGAGAGAGGAAGATGAGGGACATAGAAGGAGCAGAGAGAGCTGGCAACGTCCAAGGCTGTGAGCAATGGGGGTTACAAGTGACTTCAAATACCCCAGGCCCCAAGAGCCCACGGCTGCCCCAGGGGCAGGACTAGAACAGCTTTAAAAACCCTGCCGTGGCTGAGCAGCCCCACAGTCATGAGACTCTCCTCTCAGAGTGGCCTTAGGGGCTGGTGGTCAGAGGAATGTAACAAAGGTCTCAGCCCCTGGAGAGACAGGGAACAAGTGTGGTCATAACCTCCTAGGATTCTGCTTCCAGGTTCCAGCCTGTGAAGAGATTATGGATCAGTCATTCATTCATTCACTATTCATTCCTTCCCTCCTTCATGAAAAAGCAACTGAGTTTTTGGAACCTGTGCTGGTTGCACATATAGAATGGGAGTGAGAAAGCAAAGCCCTTTCCTTTATACTCCAGTAGGAGGGAGACCAACACATAAGGAAACAAATAAGTGATATCAAGTCCTGTGTAGAAAGGTTGGATTGGCCACCTGAGGGGGAGGCCTGAACATTCTTGGCACTGAGTCTGATTGTTGATGCAGGTAATTTAGTTCTTGAGTAAAAACAGGTTAAATCTTCATTCACTGTCATTCTCCAGAGCAGAAAATCTACTTTGAGCTGTGGATCCCTAAGAAGAACGATCTGATCCAACAGCTGGTTTTGTGGTCCATAGATGCCTAATAAGGGCCCTGCGGTGGTGGAGAGGTCGAGGCTGTGGCTGCACAAAGATCTGGCCATGACTCTGATCAGCTGTCCGTGGTCTGTGTGACCCTGATTCATTGACTGTATCTCGCTGTGCTTCAATTTTCCCTGAATAAAATCAGGTAAATGGTCTCTGGATTACCATGTTGTCTGTGAATTAGCCTTGAAACATCCCAAAATACCTGACCTAAAGCTTAGTATGGATGAACTTCCCAAATAAACAGCGTTCAAGAAAGAGAGAGAGAGATCCTTGGGCTTGATCCCTGGTAGACAAGGAGCTGCCAGGAGCATCTTCAGTGTCCTCTGTTCCTTCCTGGGGATGGTGACCATCCTCTGGAGACTCCTATGCCCCCAGGGCAGTTGGCTAATGGCCTGGGGACGTTATCCATTTGTGCTCTCCATGCTAAGCCTCAGGTGATGGATCTGACTCTGCCCCTGCTCAGATGTGGCTCTTGGGGCTGAGCCTTAGCTGGTGACCAGCTCAGGAGCCTTGGGACTTGGGAAGCCAGGAAATCATTGCTTCCAGTCATCCCTGCCCAGACATAATGAGGGGGATATAGGCACAGGCCGGGCCTGTCAATCCTGTGTGTGAAGCAGAATTCACTCCACCCAACACCCAGATGTCAGAGAGGAATCACTCACTGTGTACACGGAGCTGTATACTTCCCAATGCTCTTTCATAATTTTGGTTTATGGCTTCTAGGGTGTAGTATCCTGCGTCGTCCTGGGTCACTTTCTGGAATAGCAGGGATCCATTGTTGTATGTTGTCTCTCGACCACTATATAGAGGCCCTGGGAAATTTTCTTGGTTTTCTATCACATATATTACAATTTGTTGATTGGGATCTATTCCTTCCCCTTTGTACCAGACGTAGCCTAAAAGATTCTCAGGCAGATTATGGACAAGTAGAAGAACATCCTTTCCTTCAACAGCATTGGTCGGCACCGATTCAATAATGATTTGGGCAATGGTTGGTGGGTTCCAGAAGGTTAAGAGTGAGACTAGGAAGGAAGAGAGAGAGAGAGCGATCAGTCAATATTTGGACTTATGTATTGGGATGGAAAAATGAGGACCTGGGTCCTGAACGGGTCTCTTCATCTCTTAGACTTGGAGTTTGTGTGT